CGACCTTTCCCAGACTGGGGTGCGCCCAAGCTGGGCAAAATGGTGGGAAGAAAGGGGCAGAGAAAGGGATTGCAGCAGCTGCTCAACTCCTCCCAGTCCCTGAGAGAAATGAACTTTTGTTCATGGCCATTAACAGAGACACAGGGAGAAAATCTGTGTGGTTGCACACTAAGTCTCATACTAAGCAGGGACACCTTCAATAAGCTGTATCAAAATGAATGATAGGTTAAGTTTTGCAAGACAAGAAGCATACATCTCTCTCTCTTTTAAATTATTTTCCACAATGTTGTACCTCCTTCAGCTCCATCTGCATTGTCTTACTGTCTCAAAATACTGAACAAATATTTCAGGAGTGAAGACATAGCAAAGTGGTGATGTCTATGCTGTGGAATGTTAAACTGTCATAGCTTTCATAGGCATTAGGGCTGGAAGAGACCTCCAAAGATCATCAAGTCCAGCCTCCTGCCCCAGGGGCAGGATGTCAGCTGGGGTCATAGGATCCCAGCAAGAACAACATCCAGATTTCTCTTGAAGGTGTTCAAAGTAGGTGCTTGAACCACCTCCGATGGCAGGCTATTCCGAGACCTTGGGGGCTCGGACAGTAAAGAAGTTCTTCCTTATGTCCAGCCTGAAACGGTCACAGAGGAGTTTATAACCATTTGACCTTGTCATCCCTTGGGGCACTCTGGTGAACAAACATTCCCCCAGATCCTGGTGAACACCCCTGATAAACTTATAGGTGGCCATCAGATAACCCCTGAGCCTGCACTTTTCCAGGCTGAAGAGCCCCAGGGCTCTCAGCCTCTCATTGTAAGGTCTGTTTTCCTGACCTCTGATCATGTGCGTGGCTCTTCTCTGGACTCTCTCAAGCTTCTCCACATCCTTTTTGAATTGTGGGGCCCAAAACTGGACGCAGTACTCCAGCTGTGGCCTCACCAAGGCCGAGTACAACAGGAGAATGACGTCCTGGGATTTGCTTGAGAAGCATCTATGGATGCAAGCCAGGGTTTTGCTCACTTTACTAGCTGTAGCATCACATTGAAAGCTCATGTTCATCTTGTGGTCAATCCTAACCCCCAAGTCCCTCTCGTCCATAGTGCTAGCCAGCATAGCACTGCTGGGCCTATAAGCTTGCTGCAGGTTTTTCCTCCTAAGATGGAGAACCCTGCATTTTTCAGTGTTGAACACCATCAGGTTCTCATCCGCCCATTTCCTGAGCCTGTCAAGGTCAGTCTGGATTGCCCCCCATCCTCAAGTATAGATGCTCTTATCCCAAAGTTTGGTATCATCGGTGAACTTGACCAGTCCACTTCTGACTCCAATGTCCACATCATTAATGAAGATGTTGAACGATACAGGTCCAAGGACAAAGCCTTGAGGGACCCCACTGGTCACAGGGCACCATGATGGTTGACTTCAATCAACCACCACCTTCTGGGTCTGACCACGGAGCCAATTCCCTAGCCAGCAGATCATGGTGGACCGGAGACCACAGTTGGCAAGTTTTGCCAAGAGGTGATCATGGGATACCAGATCGAAGGCTTTTTTAAAGTCAAGATATATGACATCAATCTCTTC